ATTACATGGGATGGAATTGGTAAGTATCTTTATAGATTTTGAGGAATGAACTATTCTAAGGTATTTTTTAATACAAGTTTCCCCATATACCCTGAGGGGAAAAATATTCAACAAATTGAAGAGATAAAACAATGTATCATGGAGTACTTTGCATGAAGTAGGTGAATTACCCTTTGTTGGAGGCTCTGCTTTGTAGAGGAGCTCTCAGCCATCAGCGTAACCTTCCTGTCTTCCACATTCTTCTTCACAGTTTCAGAGTGACACTCTTAGGCATTGCTGTGAGAATGGAGAGGAGAGAGAGAAAGAGCTACTTCCTTTTTTGTCTATAGTCACTATGGAAATGTGTTCCAGCTTTCCATACTTAGTCTTTGAGGCCCCTGGCCAGCATGAGAGTATGTACTTGATCATTATAATGCTGAACTAAATAATAAGTAAAAATAGTGAGCAAAGCTCTTTCTTGGGCACTGATGAAACTGACAGTTAATGTGTTCCTCTAATTTTCTTTTGCCATTTGTTTCGACTGACATCTTAAGCCTGTGGAGATCATCTTTCTCCACAGACAGATGGGAACATTGTCCTCAGTATAATGAAAAAGGCAAAATGGTTTTGGGCAACTAATCACTCATCACCCCACACGTCTGTCAGTTTGTCATACTGTGGTGGCTTACGTGTTGCTGTGATGCTGGAAGCTATGCCACCAGAATTTCAAATACCAGCAGGGTCATCCATGGTGGACAGGTTTCAGCTAAGCTTCCAGACTAAGACTAGGAAGAAGAACCTGGCAGTCTACTCTGAAAAACTTAGCCAGTGAAAACCTTATGAATACCAGTGGAACATTGTCTGATATAGTGATGGAAGATGAACCCCTCAGGTTGGAAGGCACTCAAAATATGACTGGGGAAGAGCTGCCATTTCAAAGCGGATGGAGTCAAGCTTCTGAGACCTTCATTTGCTGATGTGGCACGACTCAAAATGAGAAGAAACAGCTGAAAACATCCATTAATAATAGGAACATGGAATGTACGAAGTATGAATCTAGGAAAATTGGAAGTTGTCAGAAATAAAATGGAATGCATAAACATCGATATCTTAGGCATTAGTGAGCTGAAATGGGCTGGTATTGGCCATTTTGCATCAGACAGTCATATGGTCTACTATGCAGGGAATGACAAATTGAAGAGGAATGGCGTTGCATTCATCATCAAAAAGAACATTTCAAGATCAATCTTGAAGTACAATGCTGTCAGTGATAGGATAATATCCATACGCTTACAAGGAAGACCAGTTAGTACAACTATTAGGGTTCAAATTTATGCAACAACTACTAATGCCAAAGATGAGAAAATTGAAGATTTTTACCAAATTCTGCAGTCTGAAATTAATCCAACATGCAGTCAAGATGGCATTGATAATTACTGGTGAAATAAAGAATTGGTAGTTGGAAAGTATGGCCTTGGTGATAGAAATGACACTGGAGATTGCATGATAGAATTTTGCAAGACCATCAACTATTTCATTGCAAATACCTTTTTTTCACCAACATAAGTGGTGACTGTACATTTGGGTCTCACCACATGGAATACACATGAATCAAATTGACTATATCTGTGGAAAGAGATGATGGAAAAGCTCAATATCATGAGTCAGAGCAAGGCCAGGGGTCAACAGTGGAACAGACCATCAATTGCTCATATGCAAGTTCAAGTTGAAGCTGAAGAAAATTAGAACAAGTCCATGAGAGCCAAAGTATGACCTTAAGTATATTCCACTTGAATTTAGAGACAATCTCAAAAATAGATTAGACTCATTAAACACTAATGGCTGAAAATCAGACAAGTTGTGGAATGACATCAAGGACATCATGCATGAATAAAGCAAGAGATCATTAAAAAGACAGGAAAGAAAGAAAAGAAAAAGACATGTCAGAAGAGACTCTGAAACATGGTCTTGAACGTAGAATAGCTAAAATAAAAGAAAGAAATGATGAAGTAAAAGAGCTGAACAGAATATTTCAAAGGGCATCTTGAGAAGACAAAGTAAAGTATTAAAATGAAATGTGCAAAGACCTAGCGTTAGAAAACCAAAAGGAAAGAACACGCTCAGCATTTCTCAAACCGAAAGAACTGAAAAGAAAATTCAAGCCTCGAGTTGCAATATTGAAGGATTCTATTGGGAAAATATTAAACCATGCAGGAAACATCAAAAGAAGATGGAAGGAATACACAGTCACTATATGAAAAAGAATTGGCCAATGTTCAATCATTTCAGGAGGTAGCATGTGATCAAGGACTGATGGTACTCAAGGAAGAAGTCCAAGCTGCACTGAAGGCCTGAAAAACAAGGCTGCAATTGTGATGTTTCAGCAAACAGATGCAGCGCTGGAGGTGCTCACTCATCTATGCCAAGAAATTTGGAAGACAGCTACCTGGCCGACTGACTGGAAGAGATCTATATTTGTGCCCATTCCAAAGAAAGGTGATTCAACAGAATGTGGAAATTATTGAATAATATCATTAATATCATGAACAAGTAAAGTTTTGCTGAAGATCATTCAAAAGTGGTTCCAGCAGTACATTGACGGGGAACTGCCAGAAATTCAAGCCGGATTCAGAAGAGGACATGGAAGGAGGGATATTATTGCAGATGTCAGATCGATCTTGGCTGAAAGCAGAGAATACCAGAAAGATGTTTACCTGTGTTTTATTGACTATGCGAAGGCATTTGACTGTGTGGATCATAACAAATTATGGATAACATTGTGAAGAATGGGAATCCAAGAACACTTAATTGTGCTCATGAAGAAACTGTACATAGATCAAGAGGCAGTCATTCGAACAGAAAAAGAGGATACTGCACGGTTTAAAGTCAGGAAAGTTGTGCATTGGGTTTGTGTCCTTTCACCATACTTATTCACTCTGTATGCTGAGCAAATAATCCGCAAAGCTGAACTATATGATGAAGAATGTGACATCAGGATTGGAGGAAGACTCACTAACAACCTACAATATGAAGATGACACAGCCTTGCTTGCTGAAAGTGAAGAGGACTTGAAGCACTTATTGATGAAGATCAAACACTACAGCCTTCAGTATGGGTTACACCTTAACATAAAACAAAAATCCTCACAATTGGGCCAATAAGCAACATCATCATAAACGGAGAGAAGACTGAAGTTGTCAAAGATTTAATTTTACTTGGATCCACAATCAACTCGCATGGAAGCAGCAAGCAAGAAATCAAACGACACACTGCATTGGGCAAATCTGCTTCAAAAGACCTCTTTAAAGTGTTAAAAATCAAAGATATCACTTTAAGCACTAAGAGGAACGTGACCCAAGTCATGGTATTTTCAATCACCTTATATGCATGCAAAAGCTGGACAAAGAATAAGGCAATCCTAAGAAGAATCGATGCCTTTGAATTATGGTGTTGGCGAAGAATATTGAATATACCATGGACTGCCAGAAGAACGAACAAATCTGTCTTGGAAGAAGTATAGCCAGAATGCTCATTAGAAGCGAGGATGGCGAGACTTCATCTCACATATTTTGGACATGTTATCAGGAGGAACCAGTCCCTGGAGAAGGACATCATGCTTAGTAAAGTATAGGGTCAGCGAAAAAGATCCTCAAGGAGATGGATTGACACAGTGGCTTTAACAATGGGCTCAAGCATAGCAACTGTGAGGATGTCTCAGGACGAGGCAGTGTTTCTTTCTGTTGTACTTAGGGTCACTGTCTTAGTTATCTAGTGCTGCTATAAACAGAAATACCACAAATGGATGGCTTTAACAAAGAGAAGTTTATTCTCTCACAGTCCAGTAGACTAGAAGTTTGAATTCAGGACACCAGCTCCAGGGGAAGGCTTTCTTTCTGTGTCAGCTCTGAAGGAAGGTCCTTGTCATCAGTCTTCCCTTGGTCTGGGAGCATCTCAGCACAGAAACTTCAGGTCAAAAGGATACGCTCTGCTCCCGACATTGCTTTCTTGGTGGTGTGAGGTCCCCATGTCTCTCTTCTTGCATCTCTCTTCTATATCTCAAAAGAGATTGGCTTAAGACACTATCTAATCTTGTAGACCCCATCAATATAACTGCTGCTAATCCATTTAATTACATCATAGTGATAGGATATACAACACGTAGGGAAATCACATCAGATGATAAAATGGTAGACAATCATACAATACTGAGAATCATGACCTAGCCAAGTTGACATATATTTTTGGGGGACACAATTCAATCCATAGCAGTTGCTATGAGTAGGAACCAACATGATGGCACCTAATAACAACAACAATTATTTATCGAGGAGTCCTGGTGATGCAGTAGTTAAAGTGCTCATGTGCTAACCAAAATGTTGTCAGTTCTAACCCACCAGTTCCTCCATGGTAGAAAGATGTGGTAGTCTTATTCCATAAAGATTTAAAGCCTTGGAAACTCCGTGGGGCTATTATACCCTATAGAGTCACTATGTGTTGGAATCGACTTGATGGAAGTTGGTTTGGTTTTTGGAATCATTTTTTAAAAGGCAAATTGCAAAGGTAACCCGATATATTAAAAACAAGCTCATAAGGATGTGTGATGTACTTTACAGAAGATGTTTTGCTTTGTAAGCTCTTGTACACTGGGGGTTGAATTAATTTTCAGTTTATTAATGAAGAGCTGCTGTCCTTGTTTTCTCCCAAGCCTAGGGGTGCTAGGCTTGAGTGAGGTGGGAGTTGTAGTAGTGTGTGAAGTCTCAGACCCTGGTTGTGGGAGTTTTTGGCTAGCAGAAATCTCAAGGGGATGCTGGCAACCTCAGAGCTGGTAGGTAAGGCTTAGGTTGAGGCAAAGTTCCTCAATAATGCTAGAATGAACACTGGATTAAACCCTGGGAACGTGAGGTTCTGGGTCTGGGTATCTTGCCTCATTCAGTACTAGCACGAAGGGTATAGAGTGATGTCACTCAGGATATGCCTGGTCATAATGTTCTTCTTCGATGTATGTTTCCACCTATTTGCAGGGCCAAGGGGATCTGTTGAAGAATGCCAAGAATGAAGCCATAGAAAACATGAAGCAGATCCAGCTGGCGTGTTTGTCCTGTGGACTGAGTAAAACCCCCAGCAGCAGTGCAGATGCCAAGAGCAAGCGTAGCCTGGAAGCGATAGAAGAGAAGGAAAGTGGTGAGGAGAACGGGAAGCTGTAAGCCTGAGCAGCATCAGCACGTTCACCAATCCTTCCTGTCAAGAACTCTGTTTTCTCTTTCTGTTTTTTCTTTCTTTCCACTTTTAGAAGTTCACTAAAGGATCCCTCTGTGGGGTGTTGGACATAAACAGATATTTTCACAATGTCAGTGTTATGGATTGAATTATGTCCTCCAAAAATATGTGTTGTAAATTTGACCTCTATGCCTGTGGTTATAATCCCATTTGGGAATAGATTGTCTTTGTTATGTTAATGAGGCGGGATTAGTGTAAAGTGTATCTTGAGTCAATCTCTTTTGAGATATAAAAGAGATTAAACAAGTGAGCAGAGCAGAGATAGGGTAAGATATATGCCAAGACATATATCCCAAGGAACCAGGAAGCAGAAGCTGAAGAGACAAGGACTTTTCTCCAGAGCTGACAGAAGGAGAAAGACTTCCCCTCCAGCCAGTGCTCTGAATTTGGACTTCTAGCCTCCTAAACTGTGAGGAAATAAATTTCTGTTCGTTAAAGCCACCCACTTGTGGTATTTCTGTTATAGCTGCACTAGATAACTGAGACAGACGTTAGTACCAAGAAGTAGGGGTGCTGTTCTAACAGATATCTACAATGTAGATGCAGTTTTGGAATTGGGTAATGAGTAGGGGCTGGAAGAATTCTAAGGTGACTAATAGAAAAAGCCTAGATTGCCATGAAGATACTGTTGGTAGAATTATGGATGTCAAAGGCAATTCTGGTAAGGGCTCAGAAGGAAGTGAGGAGACCTATACAGAAAGTCTCTATTGTCTTAGAGAATACATATGGTACCAGCAACAGAATGTTGCTAGAAATGTGGACATGAGGCTTTAAAAGAAAATGATGAACGTGTGATTGACAATGGCTTTTTATGAAGTGGCAAATAACTTGCCTGAATTATGTTCAAATATCTGGTGGAAGGTAGAACTTGTAAGTGATGAACTTGGATATCTGACTGATAAGATTTCTAAGGAAGATCCTAAAGGGGCCATGTGGTTTCTACTTGCTGTTTATAGTAAAATGCAAGAGGGAAGAAATGTACTTAAAAATGAAATGAAATGTGCAAAATGAAAACAAACTTAAAGATTCAGAAAATTCTGTTGTACAGACTAAGGACACATGTCCTAGAATGTTCACCAAGCATGTGGCTATACAATCTTTTGTTAAGGAAATTAAGCATGTGACTGATGGATCTAACAAACTACCACAGCAGAAAACCCATCAGCTTAGACTGAAGGGGTCAGAGACAGGATGAAAGGAAAGAAAACTGTCTGCCTGTTGGAATTCTACAGACAGGAAACAGGCCAAAGGAGCTACATTTGTTGTCCTCCAAGAACAGGGAAGGACCATCTCTGGAGCAGCTGGGAGATGAGCAGAACTGATCAGCATGGAAAGCAGGACCTTCTTGGTTTCAAAGGGCATGGCCAATGTCTCCTGGATCTCAAAGGGTGGGGCCATAGCCTTCTAGGTTTCAAAGAGTTGGATCTTCACCAACTTGGTTCCAGAGTTTGAGGCTGTTGTTAAGGTGTGCCAGGGGGATTGGGCCACCACCCAAAGCTGAGGCAGCAGGGCTGCCATGCCCAAGGGGCAGAAGAATGGGGCCTACAAGGGCCGAGGGGGTGGGGTCGCCACTCAGATAGAGTAGGTGAATGGGACCACCTAAAGCTGAGGGAGCAGAGTTGCCATCCTTGTGGGTCTGGAAGGTGGAGCTGAAGACCAGGGCTGGTGGGGGTGGGGAGGGGGGTGGTCTCCACCTAGAATCCAGAGGGTGTGGCCAACACTCAGAGTCTGGAGGGTGGGGCCATTGCCTAGATGGTCTTAGAGAAGAGAGGATTATTTTCAAGCCTTGAGAGCTAATGTAAATTGTTCTGCTGAGTTTGAGACTTGCTTGATGCCTGTTATTCCTTCTTTCCCTCCAATTTCTCCCATTTGTTATGGAAACATATACCTTGTCCCTGTTCCACCACTATACTTTGGAAACAGATGACTTGTAGTCTCGATTTCACAGGTTCACAGATGAAGAAGAATTTTGCTCTGGATGGAATACACCTAAAGTCTCACCCATATTTGATTTAGATGATTCAGAAGATGAAAATTTCGACTTGGAGTTGATTTAAGACTTTTGGGATGATGTGAAGGTGTGAAAGTGTTTCAAATGTGGCAAGGACAGGAATTTTTGGGGGCCAAAGGGTAGAATTTTATGGATTGAATTGTGTCCCCCAAAAATATGTGTTGTAATCCTAACCTCTATGCCAGTGGTAATAATCCCCTTTGGGAATGGGTTGTCTTTGTTATGTTAATGAGGCAGGATTAGTGTAGGTGTATCTTGAGTCAATCTCTTTTGAGACATAAAAGAGATTAAACAAGTGAGTAGAAGCAGAAAGGGGGTAAGATAGATGTCAAGACACATGGAAATCTCCAAGGAACCAAGAAGCAGAAGCTGAAGAGACAAGGACTTTTCTCCAGAGCTGACAGAGAGAGAAAGCCTTCCCCTCTGGCTGGTGCTCTGAATTTGGACTTCTAGCTTCCTACACCATGAGAAAATACACTTCTGTTTGTTAAAGCCATCCACTTGTGGTATTTCTGTTATAGCAGCAGTAGGTAAGGCTCAACTTGAGACAAAAATCCCTCAGTAATGCTAGAATGAACCTGGATTAAACCCTGGGAATGTGAGATTATGGGCCTGGGTCTCTTGCCTCATTCAGCAGTAGCACGAAGGATATAGAGTGATGTCACTCAGGATATGCCTGGTCATAATATTCTTCTTCGATGTATGTTTCCACCTATTTGCAGGGCCAAGGGGATGTGTTGAAGAATGCCAAGAATGAAGCCATAGAAAACATGAAGCAGATCCAGCTGGCGTGCTTGTCCTGTGGACTGGGTAAAGCCCCTAGCAGCAGTGCAGATGCCAAGAGCAAGCGTAGCCTGGAAGCGATAGAAGAGAAGGAAAGTGGTGAGGAGAACGGGAAGCTGTGAGCCTGAGCAGCATCAGCACGTTCACCAATCCTTCCTGTCAAGAACTCTGTTTTCTCTTTCTGTTTTTTCTTTCTTTCCACTTTTAGAAGTTCACAAAAGGATGCCCTCAGTGGGGTGTTGGACATAAACAGATATTTTCACAGTGTCAGTATTTTAATGCAGTTAATTTATCTAAGTTAAATCTTTAATAGCAGTGTTTTAAAATCTAAGATGTGTGTGCACACCAATGTGTGGATGTGTGTGGAGGTGTATGTGTGTGTATGTGTGTGTGTGAAATCCTGTAAAATCTATTCTGTGTTTCATTATTCATTTGGTAAGTTATTCCTTTATTATTTTGGGGCAAACTTGTTCACTTGAAATTCTAAAGAGCACTTAATGTAACCTGTTGCTGTGTTTCATTTTATTTCTTAGTCATTTAATTTAGAAGTCTTAACATAGGTTACTATTGAAGGAAACAAAATTTACCAATGTCTAGATGTTTTGATAGATTAAAATATATATTAGAAAAATTCCTAAGAATCACAGTAGAAATACAAGTGAATGAAAGATAAACAAATGATCAGAATTTTTGGAAAGATTAGCAGTCATTTATTGTTAGTGAACTGTTGAAAATATTTATTAAACAAATTCAATTTTTAGAAAGAAAATTTCTGTAGTAGCTTACTAACAGATACGATTTCAGTTGAAAAGCTGATCATAAGTGAATTTATACCCACCTATGTGGTACTCTTAATTAAACACAGTGGAAGTGGTGTTGTAATTAGGATTCTGATATGACAATAACATTCAGTTGTGAAATTCCAGGGCTGAGATTTGTAGGAAGGTGTTTTCTTCCAAACTGGGAGTCTAGCATTCATTTTTTGTAACAGACATTAACATCTGAGAAGTCTTGGCATTGATTATATTTAATTTAGGGTACTAAATTTACATTTAAAGACATTGTTCAAACAATGTGTCATCATATTGAGCAGATATAAATTCTGTGGGTCAGATAATATCTTCGTGACGATTTAAGAACTATCTGATTATACAACATCTGTGATATAATTTTAACACATGCAGAGAAACACACACAAAAAGAAAAAAATGACAAATTATAATTGCATCTAGATAATTTTCACCCCAATGTCTTCATAAACTACTTTAGTGTGATATGTTTGTTACCTCCAACAGGACTAAATGTTCTATGGTTATGAAAGAATATATTTATTTAAAGCATTGCTTTTATTTTGAAAAGCTTCGTAATTAATTTTATTAACAAATATGCTAATTTGGGGAACTTAGGGAAGATAATTGTTGAAATTTTGCAATTTTAAAAGGTCTTCTATAGCTACTGTTAAGTTATTCTCGACTTCTTAACACTACTATGTTCATGTTGTACATTACTGAAAGAGTAAAGATGTGAAACACCACTTATATTGTTCTTTTTATTGTGAATTAAAAAAATAATGAAAATGGGTTATTATATCAAAAATGTCTCAAAGGGTATGCTATTTCAATGGACCAGATATGATGCAATTACTCTCTATGTCTACAACTGGGCACTTGGGAGGGGGGCGTGTACTAGAAACTCATTTTGAAGCAGGTTTGCAATGGTAATATAATGGCTTGAAAAAATTTCTTTATCCTCCATTATGCCTACCTGCCCGTAGAAGGAAAAGTGAAATGCAGGCATCTACGCTCCCTAAGATAAAAAGAGATGATACAAACAGAAACAAAACCCATTTTATGTCAGCCAATTGGTTGGTCTATCCTGTGGACCTTTTCACCACCCTGAAATCCACTTAGAGAAATCCATGCCTTTACTAATGAGAGGGAGGGGCAGAGATAAAGAAGATAAATGGTAACAAACTCTCAAAGAATGTTTACTCATTTCTTTACTTCAGGGCTGAATCCAATCTTGGAAGTGGTTTCCCTAGTTTATCCCATTTGTCTCTGAGTTCCACTGATTAGCACCAGACCTACGTATATGTATGTTCTTTGAGAATAAGATACAAAGTCCACCTGATCTAATGGTATTTCTGGCAAAGAATTGTCAGCCATTCTCTGCTCCGTTCGGCCTGATTTCATTGCTAAGGAGTGGTGTGTAGGTCAGGAAGGAGCTTTAGATACTGAGAGTAGAAGAGTTAAAAGGGTAAAGGCCCTGGGTAGAATTAGTAAAAACAAAAATCTTTTGCTTATTATGGTTTCCCTACATTATTACCTTCTACGGGTGTCTGTCTCCTTTACAGGCTTGAGCTGTCACAGAAGAAACCCTCTTCAATTGACCGTGTGGTAGATATTAATTCTATTTTCACTTATTTACTTTCACATAACCAGGGGGATCTGAGGCAGGGATAGTAGGTATCATCATCGTCATTTCACAGGTAAGGAAGCCCATGGCCACTCAGGTAGTGTTCTTAGCTTCCTAGTGCTGCTGTAATAGAAATACCACAAGTGGATGACTTTAACAAACAAATTTATTTTCTCACAGTTTAGGAGGCTAGAAGTCTGGATTCAGGGCACTGGCTCTAGGGGAAGGCTTTCTCTCTGTCGGCTCTGGGGAAGGTCCTTGTCTCTTTTCAGCTTCTGTTCCTCAGTGCTGTGGCCATCTTCATGAGGCATGGCATCTATCTTCCCCAATCTGTGCTTCCTTGCTTCTGTGCGTAATCTGCTATTTTTATATCTCAGAAGTGATTGGTTTAAGACACACCCTACACTGGTATAGTCTCACTGACGTAACAAAGAAAACTCTATTCCCAGATGGGATTATATCCATATATTTTGGGGGGATGCAATTCAACCCCTAACAGGTAGTAAATGGAAGAATTGACTTTGAACTCAGGTCTGTATGATTTTATATTCAGGAGTATTTATTCATTGATTTTGATTTTAAATTTAGTTCTCAAAATTTAAAACCAGACTATTGATTTTTTCCTTTATAACCACAGATAATAAAGACTTTATCCTTCTTATAATATTAATAATCAATATAAAAATGCAAAAATAGAAAAAATGTATGAAATAGAAAAAACACTATTAACATTTTTATTTATATACTTTCAGACACTTTTAGAGTTTATACATAGAAATAAATGTTTTCATATTTAACAAAAAGGAGATCATATTGCATAAACTGTTTTTAAGAGCTGTTTAAAACTAACAATATCTCATAGATATCTTTCCATGACAATAAAATATATACTGTGTACATTAGAGGTCCCAATCTTTGGACTATGTCCAATCCATAGGTAACACATTTTATTTCGTCACTGAATCTTTTTCAAAACATTTTAACAATAGCAGACTTTTGAAAACCAGGAGATTTCACATAAAAAATTGTAATTTCCTGCTTTTTAAAAAATATTAGATATTCTGACACTAGACACACATAGATATACACACAGACCCCTTTTGCTTGGCATCCATTAATTGGAGCTGAGTAATTGGGTGCCTCTCCAAATTGGGCATGTGCTGTCTAGTTTGGCAAAGAGCCCCTGTGGACATCTGAGGTGGTGATCCTTGATCCAAGTCATCATTTCCAATAATTACGTAGTATTTTATTATGTAAATTACCATACTATATTTAACCAATTCTGTAAACTGACCCTACGAATGCCAGTGACTTTCCATTAGTCAGAAAAGACTGCCTTAAACTAGCCTAAGCCACATTTGGCCCACCCCGCATGTGCAGAAGGGCTATCTGTGACTGTTAGTTGACTTCAGTAGAGGACACAGCAACAGGTGGAAAAATCATCACCCGGACCCCATCCCGAAGTGAGCGGTGCGACAAGAACCACCTCACCTCCTGTTTCCTGGCCGCCATAATTTCTGCAACGTCTTCTCTATGTATTCTCTCTAGAATTTTCCCTCCCCAGTACGCCTGCGTGGCCGCCATCTTGCTGCCCAAATCACACATAAGCCCTGCTTCCCGTAGCTCATGGAGCTGGATCTGAAACACTCCCTTCCCGGCTCCTTGCTCTACAAATTACAATAAAATTACTTTCTCTTTCTCAAAGACCGATGTCCAGATTATTGGCAAATCTGAGCATGCCAGACAGGGACTCACCTTCCCGGGTTCAGCAGCAATTTTTTATTGTTAGGCTTTCTCAGTTTGTTCTTAGAAGCATTAAGGTAATAAAAATGTACTTTTACAAAGTTAACTTTTTCTCTAGGATAAATTTCTAAAAGTGGGAATTGTTGGTCAAAGGATACTTTTCTTTTTTTAGGGCTTTTGAAATACATTGCCAAATGATCTCTGAAAAAGTTATCCAATTTAAATTCCCAAAGGAGTTTACGAGGGTGCTCAAATTATTGCTGACAATAACAATTTTTCTTATTTTTATTTTTGCCAATCTACTAAATTTCAAATCTTATTTCTATTTTTACCCTCTAGAGAGATTAACTACGTATTAATAAGTATACTGACTACAAATAATTTCCTGTGGATTGTTTTTTTTTTTGTGTGTGTTTGTTCATTTTTGGGTGGGGTGGTAATTTTTATATTTTTATTTTTTTAATTTTTAAGAGGTATTTGTTTAAGAAGAATCTTAACCCTGTGTTTGTCATAAGTGTTGCTAATATTTTTTTTTACTTCTCTTTGCCCTCCAATTCAGTTTACACTTTCATATATAGATTTTTTATTTTTAAAATTTTTAAGTAGGTAATTCTATCAAATATTTTATTTATGGTTCATGTGTCATGCTTAGTAAGACTTTTCCCATGGCAGGGTCATATAATATTCCTCAACATTTTCTTTTGTCGTTTTTATAATTTATATTTTACATTCAAGTATTTAGTCCACTTGGAATTTATTTTGGTTTATGGATTCTGTTTTGTTTATTCATTTTTCTAGTGATTTGGAATATATATGTCATGTTTCTAATTCTGCTCTGGGTAACCTTTAGATTTTTCCACATCTCTTAATATGCTTCTCTAATTATCTGCTTTAAGAATAAAGCAAACAGCATCATTCATCTCAGGGGGTGGAATTGTGGATCAAACAAAAAACCGTTGCCGTAGAGTCGATTCCAACTCATAGCAAACCTATAGCACAGAGTAGATTGCCCCATAAGGTTTCCAAGGGCGCCTGGTGGATTCAAACTGCCGACCTTTTGGTTAGCAGCCATAGCTCTTAACCACTACGTCACTGGGGTTTCCTGTGGATCAAAGGGTTTTCAAATTTCAGGTTTAGTTAATAGTACCAACTAGTTTTCCAAAACTGTATCAAGTTACATCCTGCCTATGGTGTATGAGGGTTCCAATTATTCCCCATCTTTTCCAACATTTAGTGTTAACAGTCTCCAATGTTAGCTTTTGTGGTGATTGTAGTGGTATTTCACTGTGATGTAATTTAAATTTCCTTGATGACTATTGTTATGGATTGAATTGTGTCTGCCAAAAATGTGTGTCAACTTGGCTAGGCCATGATTCCTGGTATTGTGTGATTGTCCACCATTTTGTCATCTGATGTGATTTTCCTGTGTGTTATATATCCTGCCTCTATGGTAATGAGGCAGGATTAGAGGCAGTTATGTTAATGAGGCAGAACTCAATCTAAAGATTAGGTTATGTCTAAAGCCAATCTCTTTTGAGCCATAAAAGAGAGAAACAAGAAACAAGCAGAGAGACATGCGGACCTCATACCATCAAGAAACAAAAGCCAGGAGAATAGTGTGTCCTTTGGACCCAGGGTCCCTGTGCTGAGGAGCTCCTCAACTGGGGAGGGTTGATGACAAGGACCTTCCCACCAGAGCCAACAGAGAGAGAGAAAACCCTCCCTTGGAGGTGGCACCCTGAATTTGAATTTCTAGCCTCCTAAACTGTGAGAGAATAAATTTCTCTTTGTTAAAGCCATCTACTTATGGTATTTTTGTTACAGTGGTACTAGATAACTAGACAACTATTGGTAGAAAACCTTGTTTTATATTTATTGGCCATTTTATAAAGTGAACTATTTGTGTCTTTTGCCCTTTTTAGTTGGTTTGCCTGTCTTTCTTACTGATTTGTAGAGTTCTTTGTACTTTTTTGATATTTTTTTATATCAGTTTTGTATTAAAATATCTTCTCCCATCCTGTAACTTACCTTTTTCCCATCTTTAATGATGTGTTTTCTGAACAGAAGTCCCTAATTTAATCCAATTTATCCATTTTTTCTTTTACACTTAGTGCTGTCAAGTCATCTTTGCCTATCTTACAGTAATGAAGATATTAGCTTATTTTACCTGATAGTAGCTTTCTTTGTTTATCTTCCACATATAAATCTACAATCTCCCTAGAACCGATTTTTGTACATAGTGTGAGGTAGGGGTCCAAGTTCATTTTTTACTGATACAGATATTCAGTTGACCGAGTCCATTTATTGCTCTGTAGTGCTGCCCTTATCAAAATTAAACATCCATATATGTGTGTGTTTCTGGAATCTTCATTCAGTTCCATTGGTCTATGTCTGTCCTTTCCACACTACCACATTGTCTTAATTGCTATAGCTTTGTACCAGACAGTGTAGGCCTTCCCACTTTTCTTTTTCTAGCAGTGGATTCTGGCTCTTGGCTGAGACTTTAGCCGCGACTATAGCTGGAAGACCTATAAGTGGCCTCTGTATATGGCCTGGCCTTCCTCACAACATGGTAGTTGGGTTCCAAGGATGAGTGTCCCTAGAGAGAGCAAGCCAGGAAGAAGCCATATCACCTTTTATGACCTAACATTCTAAGTCACACAGTATCATTTAGATCACATTATATTCACTGCAGCTGCCACAAAATCTACCCAATATCAAGGAGAGGAGGGTTAAACTCCAACTCTTAATGAGATGTGGTAAAGTTCATGAAGAGCACATGAGACCAGAAATGTTGCTATTGCCATTTCTGAAAAATTCTATTTTTCACAGAGATGTTAAGTAATTTTCACAAAGTTACATCATAATGATAGAGCTAGAATTTCTTATTTCATAGACATTAGGTCTTCTTAAATTTTATTGAGTGTAAAAGAAATGCCAGCTCAAATTTTCTTAAAAGTTACAAATATGATCTTCCATGACCATTGTGTTACAGTCATGTGCCTTTATGTTACAGGTTCTTGTATTATACCATATTTTTATGCAAAGAATGCATGCCTTCTATGTTCGTTTGACAACTGCTCCCTCCCCCTGCATGGTATTTTCATAAGCGCCAATACATCAATTATTTTTTACATGTTGCTGTAAAAAAAACTTAGCATAGTGTGCTTACAAAAATACCTCAAGGGGAAGAGGGAGCAGTTGCGAGCAAATTTAGAAGGTGCATGTTATTTGTGTCAAAATACAGTAGTCTCTTCCTTATGAATCTTTTCATAAGATCCACTTGATTTTTTCATTACTCTTATTTCATATATATATGTATTTAAGCATATTTTTTGTTTGTTTGGAGGTTGGGGGATTTAGTACTGGGGTACTGCCTTTTTGCATGTGAATTCTTCTGTTTTCAAATGCACTACATAAATATTGTCATCTCTTCTGTACAATCTCTTCATAAAGTATAATGTCTGAATGTTTAGATTTTAGGATTGCTAAAACAAGTATTTTATGATACATTGCTTTAAGTCCTTTTGTTTTGCCTTTTGTTTATATAACCACAAACTTTAGCGTTTCTCAGCAAGGAACTGACAATTATTTGATGGGTAAAACAAACCAGTGACATAGGAATAGATAACAATAGCTTTTATGAGTGTACAATGCCTCTTATCTCTAAAGAAATTACAAAGGCACAACCGAGTGGAACAGAATGTTATACAAATAAAATCTCAAGGGTATTGTAACTGTTACATGATTAGAAGTTTTACTCAGTAGCCACTATGAATGTTCTATATTTTAAAAGTTATCCTGATCCTGTTTTACTTGGAGGAGGTAGCTACTGCATGTCAGCATATATAGTATAAATAATTTGACCTTGCCAACTGGAGAGTCCAGATTTCAGATTTTCTGCAGAGTTGTCTTCATCAGTATATCCATACTTTGGGCACCATGCATTCTAGTTTTTCCTTCATCAGATAAAATCCTGCCAGGGATATGGGGCCAGGAGAGTATATAAATTATAGCAGTTTGGTAAGAAGGCCTGAGTAATAATATGTAGATGAGTTTCACTAGACAGCACCTATTAAGACCCTATTTTGGCAGGGAATGGGGGACAGGGAAATGTCTTGAACACATGGTAAAAGATTCAGGTTTATAATTACAGCTTCACCAACTGAATTTCTTCTGTCTTTGTGGTAGTCTTCCTGCGGCTTTCCCACCATCCTTTGGCTATTTTTCTCTTTTTCCATGATCTGTTCATTGAATTTTCCCTGTGCTTAATTTTTGAATTTGACTTTCAAACAAGAGAAATAATAGCAATGGGGAAAAAGAAAATTCACTCATAGGCCATGGCACAAAGATATATCAATTAATAGGTCGTATTTAGCTCTCTCCACCAAATCGAATCCACCTTCAGTCTTGCACCACCTTTATTTGATTTCAGACTCTGATGTACCATTGCCACTGTTTAACTGGTAATTCTTCCAGTTTAGAAAGCTGCTGTTACGACTTTTCTTATCCTGTTCTGCGGGCCAAATGTTTCACATTAGACCATCCTCTATTGTCAAAACAAAGGGCTTTCACAATGCAGCTGTGTATTGTCCAAAACCCATTGTCATCAACTCAATTCTGACTCATAGCAAGCCTATAGGACAGAGTAGAACTGCTCCATAAGATTTCCAAGGCTGTAAATCTTTATGGAAGCAAACTACCACATCTTTCTCTCATGGTGCGGTTAGTGGGTTCGAACCACCAACCTTTTGATTAGCAGCCAGGAACTTAACCACTGCACCACCAGGGTGTATTGTGGCAGACACCAAATTAGGAGGTTTTTTTTTCTTCTTTTTTGGTTGTGATACCACAATGCATTTTTTTTTATTATCAGTTTCACTGTGCCGTCAATTCAGTTTAGTTGTGAGGAGGAATTCAATATGACAATTTAAGAAATCATAATTCTGCTGTTTTAAAATCAAATTGCAAGAGAATATGCGTTTAAGACTAGTTTCTGTATTTGTTCATTTCTTAGTAGTGTCAGATTTTTCTTTTTTTTTTTTTAGAACATTTGGACACGTCTAAGATTAAAAATAAATTCCTGAGTAAGAAAATACCGTTAATTAACTCTGTCCTTCCTGAACAGCTTGTAAATGATCATGAAAAAATATATTTCACAGGTAGAACAAAGCTTTATGGCTTATGGGCTCATTTTTCAGTAAGATGTGAATAGATTGTGTTCTTTCCTCAAGGTATGTGCAAAGAATCATAATATGGCAATACCTGTTTGTTGCAATTTACAAAACAATGCTTTCTTTTTAAAGTCATAAACATCCCTGCAGTATTCTCTGCCATTATAACTAGGAGAGGTTTCAAATCAAATTATCATGTGAAAAATCTTGATTTCTCAACCTCATCACTCCTTACTACTTATTCTTTAAGTCT